GGCCATCCCCTACCCCCGGGAGTTGAGGTTCCATGGCCGCGGCAGCAGTGGCAGCAACAGCAGCACATCGTCCCACTCCGTTCTTGCACATAAAACACAATACACACACAGCAGCTCCCCCCCCTTCCCCCTCCTCCTCCTCCGCATCCCGCAGTTCCCCACGTGGCTCAAGTCACCCAAACGCACACACACACACCACTTTCCACCCCGCCTCCAACCCCACCCACCTCAACCCAGGCTCCCCACCTGCCTATCCCCCTCCCCCCCCGAACCCCCACCCGCACCGGTACAATGTCCCCGCAGCGCGAGGTGTGATGATCGGAATGCTGCCACCCCCTTGCGCCACCTCCCCCTCCCCCTCCACCTCCGCCTCCACCTCCAGCAACCGCCTCAGCATGAGAGAGTAGAAGGGCGGGTTGCGGGCCTGGAACCCGGCAAACGCCCCCACCACCTCACACACCGAGTCCGGTCCCAGCTGGTGGGCGAAGGCTGCAAGATGCTCTCCAGCGGCCTGAGGGGGCCGGGGGGGGGGAACGGGAGGGTAGCCAGCCCGAGACGATGGTGAGTTAAGGGGGGGAAACTGAGGAGCTCGTTGGGGGGGGAGGGGCCTGGAGGTGGGCTGGAGGTGCAGTCAGACGGGAGGTGCCGTCAGAGCGCGGACAAACAAACGGACAAACAAGCATGTGGTGACAGAAGTCGCGGCTGTAACCATACGGATGCCGTACCTGCATGAGCGGCGGATCCAGATGGTACAGCTCCAGGAAGGATGACACCAGCGCCATCACCGTTTCTGTCACCCGGAATGCACCCCCACCCCCAAGCCCATCAGCACCGCTATGGCCCTCCCCCTCCCCCTTCCCCCATCCGGCAGCCGCCTCCGCGTCTTCAGCTTCCGCACGCTCCCACACCTGGGGCATCAGCTCCACCGCCTAGCAGGGGGAGGTCGTAGCGGCAGGTCAGGACAAGACAGAACAGGACAGGACAGTGGGGGCCTGAGGAGATGCAGTCGGGGCGTGGTGTGCGGGAAGAGGGAACATTTGCGCATGGGAGGGGCAAGCTGGCGAACTGTGAGGTGGTTGAGGTGGTTAAGGCAGTTGAGGTAGTTGAGATGGGGTAAAACATGAGGGGGAGTCCATGTCCTTCCCTTCCCCCGTCCTCTCCTCGGAGAGGCCTCTCGCTTCTAACCCCAACCCCGATCTGAAGTACAATGTACGATATACTCCGTACCGTTACGATAATGAGGAACGATACGCACCTGCTTGGCAACAGCCGCCATGAGCTCCCGGTCGTAGTGACCCAGACGGGCAAATGCGCCCGCCAACGTTACCAAAGTGAACCACGGGTCGGCGCCCTCATTGCTGATACCGCCACTAGGAGCGTCGGCGGCCGCAGCAGACGGCGGCGGCGCCGCCCGACGGACCCAGTCCCGCGGGTCGCTCTTGAAGGTCTCCGCCGCCAGCTCCATTAATCGCCTGTCGTACTGCTGTAGCTGCGCTAGCGACGCGAGCAGCGCCGAAACCGCATCCGGGGGATACCTGCGTGTGTCGGGGGCCAGAGCACCTGACATACCATCCGTACATACAAAAACACAGATAAACATGCAGACAGACAGAAAGATAGACAGACAGACAGACAGACAGACAGACAGGTCTCCAGACAAACCGTCATGTAGGCAACCCTATGGAGATGGGGGGACACTGCACACGCGGACACCGGCATATGTACAAGCTGGAAGAACAAAGACGCGTGGTCGCCTCTTACGTTGTCGCAAAAATGGATGAGACAACCATTGTACATTTAATCCGCAGTAAATGGTTCTGCGAAGGAGGGGTGTCCTGGAACTGCGCGCCCGTGCGTGTGTGTGTGTGTGTATCCCCCTCCTTCCCGCCCCCCGTTTTCATACCATCCCCACCAACCGACACAATTTGCGCCAACATCATCATAGTGCACCGCATGTCGTACTGCCGTACGCCGTACCTCTTGATGTGTGCCCGCAATAGCGGCGTCGCCCAATCCAGCAGTTGATTGGCGGCGACCAGCTCGTCCAGTACGGTTTTCTCGTCTTCAGGATCCACGGCGCCGCCGCCGCCGCCGCCGCCGCCGGGTCCTGCCGCACTGAGCGCCTCATCCACTACTCCCGCCAGCATCTCCTGCGGGGGTACGACAAGTACGGCAAGTTTCGGTTACTTAATTGCTTCCACTGCACCGGCTGCCCCCCACGGTTGACATCAACTGGCAGAAAACTACGGCCCAACTTAACAACTTAAACTACCAACTAAACCGTTGCAGGGTTGGTTTGCAACGAACGTCCGCCGCCACCTCCCCCAAACCACCACCAGCACACAGCCCCGATCGTTCAGTCTCCAGTGCAACGAGAGTGGCCCCACCGCTCATTTTAAACCAAATATTGGATCCAACAACCAACCGACTAACCGACTGACCAACTGTCATTCACAGCCTTTTAACTTTGACATGTTAGTTACCCCGCACGCCGGGGTACACTCCCCCCGTGTCCGCAAGCATGCAACACCCCTTCTTCGTCACTGCGCGCACCGCGCTGAGTCCGCCGGGCCCCGGGGCCCCCCCTGCCCCCGCCGCCGCCGCCGCCAGCTCCGATGACCGCCGATCCGCCACCTCCATGGCCGCCGCCACCTGCCGCTGGGCAGCTAGCTCCGAAACACTCGCGGCCTGCAAGGAACAGGAATAGGACAGCAAGGACAGCAGGAGAGGCGCACATTGGCGGCGGTAGTAGTAGCATTATGAATAGCAGCAACAGCAGCAGCATTAGAACCATAGCAGTAGCAGCTACACGCCAAGCTGTGGAAAGCGCGAATCGTGCAAAGGAGAGATACTATTCCCAACGAATAACCACCAACCACCAACCGCCGACCTGAAGGATCAGCGCCGCTACCTCCGGGCCCCGGAACAAGGGACTCTTGTTCTCCAGAAAAATGCACATCTCCGTAAATGTACGGGTGTACGACAGGGCGTCCAACGCGGTCACCAGGTCCGGCACGGGGCCCAAGTACGGCGCCACCTCCGCCTCTACCTCGCCTTCGCCAGCGGCGGCGGCGGTCGTGGCGGATAAGACGCCTGGCCGCCGTGTGTGGTTGCCGCCGCCGCCACAGCCGCCGCCGCCGCTTCCCATGCTGGGCCCCCGCGCCGGCGCCGCCACCACCGCATGGGGCCCATGAGCGCGATGGAACGTACGGATGCCGGGGGGTTCCCGTCGACTGGCGCTCAATGCCGCGATACAGAAAGCGGAGGCGGAGGAGGTTGCAGCGGCAGCAGCGATGTGCTTGTCTTTATGGCTGTAGCTGCCACGTCCTGCTGCTACTGCTGCTGCTCCGAGGGGGCGCCGGAGCCGGCAAGGTCCCCCAAGGCCCCAGCTGCAGCTGTTGCGGCCGATAGGGCTAGGAGCGGCGTGAGGGCCGCCCGGTAGATGTGAGGACCGAAGCCAAGTGGGGATGGTTTCGGCGCTGGGCGAGGCCCAACGACCGGTGGCAGGGATTAGAGTTACGCAGTGGCGGCGCTGTATGAAAGAAGACCGTCCTGGAGATGCTCGGGGACACGGATAGCTCGCCATTGTCGGAGTGAGTGATGCCGACAGCCCAGGAACTTTCCGCGATTATGTGATGAGTGAGTGAAGTTAATTGTAATATAAACGATATCGCATAAGTTGACTCGTAGTGGTATAGAACTTGCACAATACTTTCTTCTCAAAAGTGAGATACAGGCTGCCTGTCGCTTCAAGTGTTTGTCTGAGAACAATTTTGTGTAAGTTTGGTAACGAAATGATCAGATTATGCGTTGCAGGACCGAAATTCCAGTTACGCCCAGGCAGCTGCGAGCTGTTAAAATGAGTAAGTGACGAAGCGCCGTCATGTTACAATCACCCGCAACGAAGTACCCCAGTCAAAAAGAAATGAAAGACCTATGCATATGTAACAGGTGCAACCTTAATCCTTAACGAAAGACGAAAGCCCTGACAGTCGACAGTACGTCGTCCACATGCTGTGCTGCCCTAAGCATCCTTTTCAAACAATGTTAAGAGAACTATTTTTTAAAGTCCATATGATAACTGTTTGTCACACTTATTCGCCTGTTCCTGAATTTCTTTCGCACAGATTCATATGGCAACAAGAACGTCTGTGCAGACAAGCGTCTCGATTTAGTTGGCGGACATTAATAGATATTTTCCGGTCAATTTCAGTTTCCAGGTGTTCAGCGAGCGCCGCGAGCATGGTGCAGACGGCCCACGGGTCGCACCGGCTGTGACATCGTACAGCACATGCATAGCACAGCGCTTTTGTCGTACAGGGAACACACTACTAGCAACCTGGCCAAGACTAAGGCAGAAGATCTTAGCCGGCGGCAGCAGCATCTGGATCTGCAGACCCACAACCACTCGCAGAACAGCACCCGTAGACCGGCGCTCGAAACCGAAGAACCCTGATGCAAGTGCCTGTGATCTGACCGCTAAGTATCATGCTGGGATGGAAGGCAAAGTTGAAGTAGCATCACATTCACATAGTTGCTATGGATTGTTACAGAATACTTCTTTTGATTCCCACGTAGGTCAAGGCTGCGATTCCTTCACTAGTTGTGATGCAGTCGGCCATCTGTAATGTCGCTGTCGATCAGCCAACCGCTTGACAGTAACCGAAAATAATTTAATTGTTAATCTTGTTATTTGATCATCGTACCTTTACTTGCAAAGGCGTTGTTTTGTGCAATCAGATGGATCATGTTGAACCTCCTGACAACTCGATGCAGTACGAAGGAAATCGACAAAAAGATCGTGGCATCGCGATATGTTCCGACTTTCAAAGTCGAGCATAGGGAACAACACGCCTGAGCGCTGTAGTGGCGCGATTGCCCGACCCATGTTTGTTGCAGTTGGAGACCGTGCCTGCTTTCGGAACGCATTATAAACGCAGCGATTGGGTAACAGAACTGGACCTCATTATTGACCCCAAAGATGCACATATAGCAAGCAGTATATAGCGCACGTGATAATTGGCTCGTCTCGACAACATCCTCCGCTTCCGGCGCGCGATGCTGGCCCTGTGCGACCAGCTAGCCCAAGCCTGGAAAACAGCCCCTGTAAGCAGCTGCTTCGGACCAGGCGCCATGATCGTAACATCTCCCAAACCCCTGCTTTTGCCAGCTGGATTGCATAATAGTGCCGGAAGTGATATGCAAAAGATGATGATGCGATTGCCGCAGCTTTGGCCAACCCGGGTCCGACGCGTCAAATCATCCATTGGAGCCACAGCTGACCGCACCAGCACGTTCAGCATGTCGCACCGGTCGTTGACCGCGGCAACAGCAGCCTCACCGCTCTTTAGGCCGTCCACCATCGGCCCGCGGATAGCTTCTCCGTCATCATCATCACCAGCAGTTATTAGCGCCGCAGCTGCAGCCGCCTCCGCCGCTGCTGCTGCTGCTGCGCCTGTAACCCTCAGTCCCAGCTACCCTGGTACGCCATCTTCGCGTCTTACTCCTGGCCCTGGTCGCCTGCATCAGACCTTCACTCCAAGCCGCCATAGCACACCTCCTTCGGACCTGTTGGCGCCCAGCGCCGCCCAGTGGTACGGCGTCAGTACGGCATCAACAATTTGTAAAGATGCCGACATGGTGGACGGCGCCGACAGCTGCAGTAGCAGCAACCCGGAGACCGCCGGCAGTATCTCGTCCAGTAACCCGAAATCTCCAAGGAAACGTGGTACCGCCGGCGCCGGATCCAGGGCGACCCGCGGTACGACGGGCTCCGAAACCAGGAGCAGCGCTGCGGACAAGTCGTACAAGACTGAAGCGGTCATGACTCCCGAGGCGGCCGTCTACTGGCGGAGGGCCATGGAGGCGATTGATCGGTGGGTGTGCTGTGTGCTGCGTGCTGTGTGTTTTCCCCTCCATCCTGAAACTCCATTTACCCCTCGCAGCAGTCCTCCGCCCCGTTCCCCGCTCCGCTAGGTAGCCCCCCGCCCCGCTTGCCTGAGCCACGAGGCGATGACGTTGCTTCCAAACCCATGTCTTCCCCTTCTTCCCCCTCGATGACGTTGCCTCCAAAACCCTGCTCCACCGCTCTTCCAAAACCCGTCTCTTCCCCTTCAACCCCCTCCTACATCCCCCCCATCGTGTCACGCTTTCCGATACCCCTTTTTCTTTGCCGCCTTCAGTTCTACACGTCACCACCACCACCACCACCACCACCACTACGGCGGTTTCCGTCCTTCTGCGTTTATAAGGCTCTCCTTTAATCTCAGCGGCTAAGTAGCGTTTTTGCGTTTTTTGCCTTTTGCCTTTTTTGGACTTTGGACTTGGCTGCAGCTCGTAAGTACCTCGTCTCTCAACCCAGCTAAAGCCGCGCTGCCGCCAAGATTAACACTACTAAAGTCATCCGGATCAGTAAATACTATTCGTGCTACAGCATTTGTCGTCTCCTGGACTATGTCCGTCTATTTGCCAGTCTTTCACTCGCCAGTGGTCCGTGTCGTACCCCTCCCTCCCCCAGTCCCGGTCTGGGCCTGTTGTTGGGCTCCCTAGAGTGGGACCACCCTCTGGGGGTGAGCAGCCGGCGAGCCCGGGGCCGGGTGCAGTGCTACGACAGCTTCCTGGCGGCCAAGAGGAAACACCCCACAGCGGTGGTGCTGGTGCGGGTGAGGAGGGGAGGGGAGGGCGTGGGGGTGAGGAGGTCGATTGGCGATTTGCAGGATTCCAATGGGATAGATTTTTTGGGGAGGTGAGTGGAAGTCGCCTTGTCAGGGGAAGGGGGAGGGGGGGCCAGCGAGGTGCTTACCCCGGCCCGCCAGTTCGCTGGGAGAGTACGGCAGGGTACGGCAACAATTTTAGGGAAAGGCTGTTGGTTTGCGCCCGGTAGAGTATTTGTGCTGGCAGGTGCGTATGTATGTATCGCTGTACGGCTATTTTCCCAGCTTTGGCAGCCACCTCAAAATTCAGCTGGCTATGCACCCTCCTGCATCCCGGGGGCCTCCATCTTCTCTCCAACCCCCTCGGCTGGCTTCTTCACGACAGCGTGTACTCCTCCCGACTGACCTCCGCGGGGAGTTGTGAAATCCGCGTGTGCGTGTGTGTATGTGCTTGTCATTGTTTGAATGTTTGCAATTGCAAATCTTCCCCCTCGTGTCTTTTTCCCCCGGTTCCCCCCCTCCCCCCCGGTTCCCCCCCTCCCCCCCTCCCCCCCTCCCCCCCGGGCAGATTGGCGAGTTCTACGAGGCGGTGGGTTTTGACGCGCTCGTCCTGTGCCAGTACGGCGGTCTCAACCCCATGTCCCCCCACACGGGGGTGGCGGAGGCGGGATTCCCCCGGGCCGCTAATAGCCTGCGCCGACAGCTCAACAGACTGATAGGGGCGGGCTTCACAGTGGTGCGTGTGTGTGTATGGGGGGGGAAAGGGGGGGAGGAGGGGGGTTTACGTTCTAAAAGTGACAAGAGCGCTTGAACCACCGAAATATAGACAATTGACGCGGAGAAGGGGGGGTTAAAAGTATGTGTGTGTGTGTGTGTTTGCAGAGGGAAGGGTACGAGGGCAGGACGTTGCCATAAGGTCAAGGATGGGTTAGGAGGAAGTACGGCAGTCCTGAGCCTGCGGTTACGTGGTGGCGTGAGGTGTGACACCCGCGGTTGATAGCTGTGTTTGCAACAGTCTCCCGCAAACGTTCTCCCACCTCCTTTTTCCGACCTGCGCTGTGTGTGTATGTGTATGGGGGATTGCACGCAGGCCATGGTGGAGGAAGTACGGGAGGTACGGCGCTCCGGAAGTGCCGTACCCTTCAAGGAGCGCAAGCTTGTGGCCGTTGTCAGCTCATCCTCGCCGTACTACCTGTACGGCGACGTGGAGGACGAGTACGAGGGGGACGACACGCCCTTGCCTAAACCCATTATGGGTACGAGCTCTGGGGGGGAAGGTTGAGGGCGGAGGGGGAATGGGGGAGGGTTGCAGGATGGGGGGAAGAAGGGGGGGAAGAAGGGGATTGAGTACGGAATCTAGGCAACCTAGGGAGAGTGTTTGGAGTACGATCTGCGCGTGAGCCGGCCGGCCTCGATCGTACAAACACCCCAATGACGTCATTCATTCACCTGGTCATTTTAGTCCCATACGACATAAAACAAAATGTTCGACAAGGGTACGGTCCTTTCCGCCTGGGCCTGCTTCTGCCGTACCCGCCCACCCGCACAATGTCACAACCTAGCACTGTTTGCAGACACACACACCCCATACACACACACACCATCCCCCCACCCCCCTTTACCCCTGGCAGCAGCTTCACTCGTTTGTGGTTCGACTTTCCCCCCCTTTACCCCCTCAATTCCGTACCTTCCCCCCCTTTCAGGCATCAGTGTACCCAGTTCCGGGGGGTATCGGCTGATGCGCTACTGCCCGCAGCGCCGTACGGTGCAGGTGCTGTCACAGCTGAGTACGGAAGCCCTGGTGTCGTACCTTCACGCTACGGGGGTGGCCCAACCGCTGAGGCTGCACACCAGCGTCCGGGAGCGGGAGAAGATGGAAGGGAGGGTGGGGACGCGTGCGTGTGTGTATGCGTGTGTTTGTGCATGTGTTCGTCTGACTGTCTGACTGTCTGACTGTGCGTAGACATACGTAGACATACGTGCACGTCACCATCGTACGTCTTGTAGCCGTCGTACATCCTCGTCATGTGAGCATATCTGTATGTGTGCGTGTGCGTGTGCGTGTGTGTTTCTGTTTGTTGCCGGGCAGCAGTTTTGTCCCGCGGTTCTTTGCACGAATTGCCGCACCAGAACCACCGTACCCTCCCAAAACATTTCAACCACCAACCGCCTACCAACCACCTGCCAACCGTCTGCAGGGTCCACCGCTGGCCCGCGTCCTGTCGTCGTTGTTGGGTACGACAGTGGAGGAGTACGGCATTGGCGCGGGTTCCGACTACGGCATCGGAACGCCTGCACGCCCCAGCCCCACCCACCGATCTTCCCGTGTTAACAGCGGTTTTGATGACGTGTCGGGTTTTAAGCGCGTCGTTGCGGCAACGCTGGGTTTGGATCCAGACGGACTGGAGGCGATAGATTCCGTCCCCTTCGCCTACGAGTCTTCCCCCTCCCCCTCCCCCGCCTCCCCCTATAACGCCGGCTCTATCGGCAGCGTCGCCCCCCTGCCGCCGTCACTCTCCACAGCGACCCAGCTCGGGCTGGCCGGCGCCCGCGGCGTACCCTCCCTCCTCTCCGCCGCGCTGCCGGAGGGAACACCCGCCCTCGCGCGCGAGTGGCTGCGGCGGCTGCTGCTGCTGCCGCCGCCGCCCACCGTGGCTGAGGACATCCGGGCCGTGTGTATGCAGCTGGCGGGGAGCGGGGAGGACGCGCTGCCGCTGCCGCCGCCGCTGGTGACGTCGGTGCCGGGGCCGCGGATAGCGGCGCTGCTCGGGGAGGGGGCTGCCGGACACAACACACTGCGGGACCTCCGAAGTGGGTGGTGAATCTGTGAACCGCAAACCGTCAACCGTCAACCGTCAAC